GGTGCATTTAGGGTGCCTATAGTGAGGCAATCCACGGCCTGTTTTTTGAATTGTCTTGTACCAGTCTTGCCACTCACCGTTCTGCCCTAACACTGACTAGTCGCTGACGGCCACAATGTGTACGTTCAGACCCAGATTTTCGGCTGACAGTCCAGTCTTTAAACACTTTAACAACAGCTGCTCTTGAACATTTAACGAATTCTGCTGTTTTGCTGATACTCGCTCCATGGCTCCGCGCGCCAACAATCATCCCACGTTCAAAGGCTGTTAAATCGCGTTGTTTACCCGTATCTTCAGAAAAAAATCACTTCTACTGTCGTGGTAAACAACCTGCTTCCCTATTTATAATGGTCTGGCCCTCTAGCAACTTCAGCGCGAAATTATAGCTAATTTGCCTACACACGTCAGGTGGTCATAATAATCTGGCCACTCAGTGTATGTGTGTGTGTAATATATATGTATACACACACACACACACACACACACGTACACACTTCTTCAAATCATGTTCATGTATGAAAACGCCACTATTTAGAAACACAGACGACAGGCATATCAACTCAGCATTCTGATACTCCTATGGTTGAGTAACATTTCATTAAAGAAGAACTCTGGGGAAAATTAATATTAACCCTTGCAGTGGGGCTACTCCCACACTGCAAGGGCTACATGTTCATTTTGGTCTAGGGAGGAAAATAACAAAGTTATACCCACCTGATCCTTGGATCTGACCGGCTCTTAGGAGGTACCTGGAGCCTCTCTCCCCCTCTGCTGCTGTAGAGGTCTAGGGTCCCATAAATCATCACGTTCTATACGTGAGGTGAGTATAGCTAAGTATAACTTTGTTATTTTCCTCCCTAGTCCATAACGAAGGTAGCCCCACTGCAAGTTCTGCTTTAACATTTTTTTATAGCTTTTAAAAATAATTTTAATATTTTTTTTAAATATTAAAAAATATATATAACAGTATAAAATAATGGCCTTTTATATCTGCCTAGAGTGCGGCTTTTAATTCTAAAGCTGAACCCCAGGCAGATATGAAGCTCTGTAAGCAATACATCCTTAGGTGTTTTCTTTTGAATGCATCTTGAAAGCATTCTAAGAACCCTAATTATCAGCCTCTTGCAGTATCTGTACAGCAAAGCTCAGAGAGGGGGAGGGCAAAGCTGCAAAAGAGCCACTGAGGTGTGTGCAGTTCAATGAGAATATTGTCAGGAGTACAGGTCAAAGTGACAAGGAGAAGAGCTCATCAGTGTGCTGCTTCTCTATTCCATGACCAGTCACAAGTTAGGGAAGTGGAGCAGCAGAAAAAGATTAGACCACCTTCCCTGCCAGACAGCACTGTGATGGGTGGCAGAGCTGTGTAAACCTCAGGACTGGATTGACAGGATTACAAACCTTTTGGCAGTTAACACAGCTTTTAATTACTCTATGTATTCCATCTGTATATTTAGCTATTTACCGAGAGCTCAGCTAATACTAAGATTTTTGCATCTCACATGTAAAAACAAAAAAACATCAATGGAACATGGCTGGTTATTATGCAACTCATATTGTTGCATGACTCAGGTTCTCCTTTAATATTTTATAAGCAGTTATTTGGTTTTCTCTGTTAGCTGTCAAAACACTATGAGGGTTATTCACTTAGCTGTCGAAGGCAGCCGAGTGAATAACTGACCCGAAGTGAACACTGCTGCACAACGTTCGGCTATTCTCTCTGACTCAGTATTGCTGAGCCGTAGTGCAGAAGGAGTCCGACTAAGCCGATCCAACATCCGGCAGTTCATTCTCATAGGGGCCGAACGGCAGTGAGTGAATAGCCGAATGCCGCCGGCTTCAGGGGTAGCAAGCAGAATAGAAAAAGAACGAAAATATTTGAAAGAAAAGTAAAAAATAAATAAAGAATACTTTTTTAAAAAAGAACTCCGACCCAACCGCACGTGACTAGCTCCCACTGCATCATGTAGAATCTGACAGATGCCGGCAAAATATAAACAATTGGGAGGAGCTAGCGGTGACATCACCTCTAGCTCCGCCCAACTATTTCCTATTGGCTGGCAGTCTTCTAGCAGGTCCTGGGCAAAAAATAACAACTGGGCGGAGCCGGCGGCGATGTCACGGCCAGCTCCGCCCAGTTATTTTTTAATGACAGATCAGCGTCCCCAGGTAATTTGGGGATGCTGATCTGTCATTACAACTGGGCAGAGCAAGCCTGGCTCCACTCAGCTGTCATTTGTGTGAAGAAAGGTCGGCCCATCGGCCGACATTTCTCATTGCTTCGGGTGTCACTACGGCTTGGCTGGAGCATATGCCTTCGACACGGCCGAGCCGCCCGGCTGCTGTACAGGCTATTGTGAATAGCCCGTGCAGCAGCCCTTCGGTTACTCCTGTGGCCAAATTGAGCTGAAGGATCAGCCGAAGCTACGGCTGGATCCTTCGGCTCTATAGTGAATAACCCTCTTAATAATGATTGTGGTTGCAAATCCATGTTATAAAAAGAGAAAAAGACTTTTTAGTGAAACAAAGATGTCCTTGATTATAAATCTGGCTATCATAACTTTAGAATTGTTCAATTATATTTATCTGCATAAGAAACAATAGAATAAACGTGTGAATTATTCAAATAAAATTCATACAAAAACAAACAAATGGTTGTATTTCCCCTCTTTATATCCAAAAGTCTGTGATAACCTAGCAGCATGACGGCACAATGAATTCCATGAAATGATTAAAGCGTCAGTGTTTTATTGCATCCCTAAGAGGCATCTTTCTGTTTGCTTTCAGGATCGGAATATGTTTCATTTAATGAATGGAATAAACTACGCGGGTTTTAATTGCCTTAAAAAATCCTTTCAAGTACACTTGTCACTATCTGTGTGTGAAGATGTTGTTCCTTCCTTGGCAATGCCCCAAAATAAGTTGCAGCTGGTTATGGCTTGAATTAACATAATGATCCCCTATCAGAACTACGGCCTGGGGAACACAGAAGGCTACAAATACACATACAGCTGAAATGACAACTGTCATCAGCTCTGCCGTCTAATTGTGAGATTCATCATGGAAGGCATTTCATTAAACCGCACACCATTTATGTAATGCAAACTTTTGCAATAAAACTTTCAGTTCCCAAAATGTCACTAGATATCATTTCATTTGTTTTTTTTGTCTTCATTGTATCTGGTGATTTTACAACTAACCTTAAAAAAAGGGGTTTATTTTACAACAATACTATAGTACTCATACTAAAATTACAGAATATTCACATGTCCTTAGATTGTAAGCTCCTTGAGAGCAGGGACTGATGTGAATCTGCTCTATGTAAAGTGTTGCGTAAAAATTGTTGGTGCTCTACAAATACCAATAATAAATAAATAAATAAATATGTTGGTTTACATAAAAGGTTTGATCTATTTAAAGTTCATGTAGACCCATGTTCAAATCTTAGGCCCTATTCACACTTTGCGAATGGGGGCTGATAGCAAGAGTCTCACGTATTGCTCCATGAGATCAGCTGCGGGCAAGAGACACTGAACATGCACATGCTGCGATTACCTGTGGATGATTGCCACTGGACACAGAATTTTTGTACAACGCCTCCTGCCCACAGCTGATAGCATGAGTCTCACAGAGTGGTTCGTGAGACTCGTGTGATTGGCCCCATTTGCAAGTGTGAATACGGCCTCAATGTAAAGCTGTGATAGATTTTAAAAAAAGGGGTTGAAATACTTCCCTTTCTTGGCAAAATGTTGCTCCACTCACTCCAGTGCTGGTTATGTGGTCAAAATCTTAGACTTGATCAAATGATCTCTGTGGAAGAGGAGGATAGCCAGCCTAAACTTTTACCATCTATTTCAACAGAGGCAAGAGGCAAGCCGGAGCATTGTTTTCTCCAGGAAAGTATTTAAAGTGACATAAAAGTATAAATCCCCCGCCATGCTGCTGCTTCAAGGACTTACCCCTTAAATGCTGCCTCTTGATCTGATCATCTTCTTCCTTCCAGTAGTTTTCAGGAGTCCCTCCAGCGCTGGTGCCTCCGATCCAACTCTGACTGCTGTGTCTTCTGTGTCCCACAGAGTCTGTGTGCCTGCACGCTGCTGGGCTGCATGCATTGACTTACCCTGTGTCTCTCCAATTCTCCCGGCCGAAGATCTCAACTGCGCATGCGCACGCCCGAAAAATGTCAGATCTTCAGACGGGAGCGCGCGGCGGAGACACAGGTATGTTTTAACCTTTTTTTGTCTCTTTTAAAAAAAAAAATGTTTTTGCATATAATCTACTGCTTGCTAGCAGTAGTAGGGTTTAATTGTCCTTAAAGTCCTTTTACTGCTCATTTGGGTATCTCTCCCAACTAGTCTGCTAAAGTTCATCTTTAGACAAAATAATGAAGTACCCCACATTCCTCTCACCAATCCCACCTTCACCTATGCACATTAAAAAAAAGACCCTTTCTAAGCCCCTTAAACTTATCCAAATCCACCATCCTGTGACATTCCGCTATGCCTCTTCCGGGAGTGAAGACAGGTGATCGGCCACTGTAGTGCGGGTTCACTGATGACTGTTCTTGATGTTGGCTCTCATTGATAATTATAAACAGCAGCTTAGCAGAGTTGATTTAATTGTTGGAAAGGGATTTATATTTGGTTATTAGTCTTATTGTGTGTTTATTTTTCGAGTTTCTATTTATTTAGTCATTATTGGAGGTGGGATTAGGTGGCACGGAACTGGGGAATTTATTATTATTTATTATTATTATTTTGTTACAGATTGGAGTAAAATCTGGAAACTCGCAGGTCCTATGAGATAAAAAGATTGCTGGTTTATTGAAACAAGAAAGCCAATTACTTTACCTTATAAGAGCAATGAAAGTGTTATTCGAACACCATGGCTTCATTGTCCATCACAGCATAGCAAATATTAGTCATGGTCATCACACTGCATTCATGATATCATCTCATCATTGGGACTCTGCTGCCCGAAGCACTTGTATATAAGTCTGTTACCTGTAGCTGTACATTAAATGAACCTAGGTCTTCTGCTTTCTTCTCCAAGGACTGCACCCACACTTTCCTCTTCTGCCTACACCTAGAAGCAGCTGCACGGTTCCGTTCCAGAAATTTCCTCCTCTTCTCATCTGGGTCATCGCTTGCTGCTTTTCTCCGGCGCCCCCCTGTGCTTTGGGTTTGTGGTGCAGGGGGAGCTGGAGAGGCCTAGAAAAACAAGGGCAAAGTAGTTGATCTCTCGCTGATCTGTATCGAAAACTTATCCAAAGAGCAAACTGACTGAGACGCTGCAAAGAGAGAAGGAAACTTTAAACAAGTTCTACAACAGCTGGTGAAGTAATCTCCCAGAACAGCCTTCTGTTCAGTAAACGCAGAGGAAGTACACGGAACAGAAGTATAAAATCGCTCTTTCATTGCTGAAAAGCAGCATGTGCCATTTCAGACACCATAAAGCAACAATAACACATACGAATCACAATTGTTTCAATACATCTGAACAACATGTACTGCAACTACTTAAAAACATAATTTAGAAGCCCTCAAAGGAAATACAATATCCTTATATTCAGCTAGCAATTAAAACTCAGGTGTTAAAGGGAAGTATAGTCTTTTCAAGTATTTCTTAGATATATAGGTAAAGTGATAGAGATCCAATTGAGGCACATAATCTTATATGTGTGTATTGAACTTTTAGAGCTCAACTCATACTCAACAAATACAAGAGGCAGGTGTTGTCCTACTTGAATCTTGGTATGCTTTGTGTATTTCTTCCAGATCTGTGCAGTAATCCAGCATGAAACAACTCCTTCACTTTGCGTCTCTGAAGGAGTTTCCTGTAATATAGACTGGACACTGTAGCACTTATTCCTTGTGCAGGGTGACTGGTCTTATACCCATCCCTCTGTAGTGTTCTACAGGCCACCTGTATTGGGAGGTCCTGCTGGGTGCCACCCACAGCTCTGCTTTTTGCACAGGCTGTGCAGCTCAGTGATGATGTCACCACTACTGTTACAAGGTAATAACTGGGTTCACAAAGCCATTTTGGTGCACATAGAGTGGAGGTAAAGTCTTTGATTCTTTAAAAGGAGAACTATGAGGCGAGTCCTTTTCACTCATCCTCATAGTTCTAGCCAACCTGTGACAATGAAACTGTCACAGGTCGGCTCAGTAGATCGGGAAGTGAGCGAACACATACCGTCGTGTGTATTAAAATTTGCGCATTTTTGTGCACATGTACGTTCGCACAATTTTTTCTCGTGAAAACACATGCTGAATTCAAATCACTATGTGTGAATTGAGCTTTACTGCTGCTCTAGAGGCTAATCTACAAAAGTCTTCATTTTTAATACAATATCAAAAATATAGAAGCATGCAAAATTGGTAATGTCACATAAAAAAAATTGCTATAGAAAATGACAGATGTTAGCTGAAATAGATCTCCGCTACTAAATTGACATGAGATGATCAGTAGGAGGCAGTGAAATCTAATGCTCAGGTTTTTTTTTTTTTTACTAGTTAAACCCTACCCACAAAATTCCAGAAGAAGGAAAAAAAATAGTGGATATTTGAAAAATGAAAAACATAGATTTGCATCTTAAAGTCATGCTAAATATATTGTTTAATATTACTTTGTCATTTTGGTATGGCAAATTTTAAAAGGAACAAGAAGCATGATACAAATTTTCTTTCTTTCTTTCCATTTCTACATTCCTGACTCACATTAATATTCTTTTCTTGATTTAATAATAAAAACCCTCCCAGAACTATCCTGTCGGTCCTTTCTATCTCTAATACTCATTAAACACAACAAATCAGAGCAAAGTACAATAAGTATTAAAAAAAAGGTGGAGAGTCCGGGGGGGGGTCAAAATGTGAAATATGATTAGGAAAACATTGCACAGCAAACATGTAAGAATGTGAAATTGATTTAAGAAATGTTTAATAAATGTAACAATAACTCGCTAATAAAAGTCAATGAAAACAGACATTATTCCACCATTAATCTGTATGACTGAACAAGCTGGTCTAAGAGGCTACTGATCCTATAATACAGGGGTGGGCAAATCATTTTTTTCGAGGGGCCACATGAGAAACCGGGATGGCTTTGGAGGGCCAAACTGATTAATGCATGGTACCGTGCAATACACTGACTGTGTGTTACAGTGCAGCAGGTACATTGCCATTCATTTGAATGGCACCCTAAACGCACTTCCTGCCTGCAATGCGATTGACGGCACTACAACGCGCGGTACAGCATTACTGTGCGTTACAAGCATTCGCAGCACTGTAACGCCCGATAGGTGAGTTGCATGGTACCGTGCATTAATTTAATGCCACAGCATAGGTATGAACGGGCCCTGAATGAAGCATTATTGTCCCCACACTGTTCCCACATAATCTGATAATTAGTATGTAGCATACAGTGAGTGGCCAGTTTATTATGACCACCTGACGTTTGTAGGCAAATTAGCTATAATTGGCTATAATTTCGCGCTGAAGTTGCTGGAGGGCCAGACCATTATAAATAGGGAAGCAGGTTGTTTACCACGACAGTAGAAGTGATTTTCTGAAGATATGGGTAAACAATGCGATTTAACAGCCTTTGAACGTGGGATGATTGTTGGTGCGAGCCATGGAGCGAGTATCAGCAAAACAGCAGAATTTGTTACATTTTCAAGAGGGGATCATTGTTAAAGTGTTTAAAGACTGGACTGCCAGCCGAAAATCTGGGTCTGAACGTGTGAATTGTGGCCGTCAGCGACTAGTCAATGTTAGGGCAGAACGGAGAGGGGCAAGACTGGTACAAGACAACAGAAGGGCAACAGTGCAGTGTCTCAGATTCCTCGCATCACCTTTCAACATCTCGTGGAGTCATGAGGCGGCCCAACAAAGTCGTCTTGTGGAGTCATCTCGTGGCCCAACGTAGTACTGATGGGGTGGTCATAATAATCTGGCCACTCAGTGTATACCATTTTTATCTTATTTTGTGTTTTTACAGGCCATAGGCGGGAGCTGCAGAAGTGGATGGAGGAGGACGTTGGTAATGCTGGGGGAGGAACACATTTGTCACTTGTTTTTAGAACAGCTCAGCAGTCCTAGCAACCAAGGACTGAAGAGAAATGCGGTCTGGACATGGACCAATCGCCGACTTGCGCTGGGCTATTACTTGCAGTGGATGTACTGGCCTTGGAGAGTGGTGCATCCACTATCAGCCGGCCACAACAAAGTGCAGGTCGGCAGGCCGCACATACACAGAGGGCCAGATGTGGCCCAAGGGCTGTAAAATGCCCAGGTCTGCCATAATACATACACCATACCGTATCATAACACTCTATTCTTGTACCAAGCCTCTTACCGGTGTTTCAGTAGTGGATGTGGCAGGCTGCTGTAGTGACTGTGGATGGGATTCTTCTGCCTGAATTTTTGCTACTCCGCTGCTCTGTCCCTTGGTGGTTTCACCATTCGTTACCTGAGGATGCTGCTGGGTTAAAGCAGCTTTTAATCTCTGAAGAAAAAAAAATTGATAACCATTGTAACCAAAATCAAATCATATTTTACCGGCCAAATTTCAATCAAACTCAAATCAAATAAGAACTTCTTGGAGGGGCACAATATTTTTTCCCTCTGCCAGTAAAATACAAGAATCTGTCTGCCACTAATACAAAGACTGATCAATTCCAACATGTGTGTCACTAAAGTTCTCTGCAATCGTGAGATAGCTGGAAGATCGTTCTTTAGAACTCTATGAACACAAATGATTGTATGGACCAGAACTGCATATGTATACAGTGTGCTAGCCTTATTTTAGAACAACAATAATGACTGACTGGGACAATAGCGAGTACAGATGGCTCAAAAAAGTGATTTTATCAAATGATATCAGAATGATGCTTCCAGGTACAGAAAATATATGTGCATATTATATAAGAATATTTATTACCTTACAATGGAAAGATAAAGCTGAGAAATTATCCTATATACAGTATGACAGAAAGCAGCCAAAACATTCCAGCTCTATAGATCCATTTTTGAGCTCCAACATTGCCCATTGCCCTCCTGAAGATAGCTGCTATGCACATACATTAGACATATACATACACCTTCATGTATTCTCTACTGAAGGGGGAAACCCAAAGAGGGGCTCCAGGTGGCACCGGAAATGGAAGTTGACACCTCATGTTGTCATTAGCCAGCTACAGCTAGTTTATCTTAAGCAATTATATTAAGCCAAAATTGAATTTTCTTTGACATTTGTTTTTCTTCAAGTGTGCATTATAATCCTTGTCCTTGTTAACTTTATTTCATTTTCAGAAAAGTATTCAGGAAATAAACTTGAAAATACTCAGCAAATGGACCAAGCACAGGTCCATGAGGGCATGCACTTAAAACAGTCAATATTTGTACATGGAAAATATGTACAACATTCATACTGTGCTGATGTCAAGGTTTAAGAAAGGCCAGGAACATCTTTTCAACCATAAGCCAGAGGTCTTCTGTTATTAAGACTAGACACTCTCACTAGAGATATGGGGTTATTTCTCTGTGACCTTTCTCTCATTATTTCTATTAGCTGACATAAAGGTTTTTCGACTTAGGAAGATGCATTAATCTTCTAAATGGTCATTAAGTTCAAGTTATGCTAGTACAGGTACTTGTACAATGAACAAGTTCCTACAGGATCTCTAATGTCCATCATACAATGGCAATTAGGGCAACCACATCCTTCTACAATACCAGAACTTGAAGGCCAAGTGAATAATTGCTGCTGTTCTACAGAACTGCAATACACACAGACGATCACTATACACTATCTCCTACATTTATTACATGCAGCTGTTCTAAGCTTTTTAAGGACCTGCAGAGCTGCTGATGGCCCCATAGAAATTACAACAGCAATGTAAATGTTATATCTATGAAGATTAGTACATTATATTATGGAAAGATCCATTATATAGCAAACCTAAGATATGAAAATAAATCCCTGTTTGTCTCAACTGTTCATTCTGTCCTCGGTATTTAGGAGAGGATTGCAGCCCCAGGTGATGCTATGGTCAAGACAGAAGGCAATGTAGGCAAGGCCAGTTCAACCAAGGCAGAAGAGCACCTGTCTGGGAGGGTGCAGGAGGAGGGAAAAAGAAGATGACACAGCTGACCCCCACTCCTCCTGCTCTCTTAAGTTGGCCATACACTACACATTTCATCCGGTTCTAGATGAACTAGCTGATTAAAGGAGGCAGTCTGAATATTTTCAAACAAATAGAGCCGGCAGCCAATGAGCTGGGATTCCTTGATCCACGCTCCTAAGCATTGAAGGAGGAATCTGTTCTATTTTTTGTCGTTCAGCCCCCAGGTTGAGCAAAAAAAAATAGAACAGTCTATGGCCAGCTTTAGTATAATCTGCAGAGCTAGGCTGTCAAGTTTGAAAGTTGGGTCCCATGCTATGACACTGGCTCCTATTTGTATTTTTACAATAATTTTAGTTGCAGTCTGTATGAATGCTCTATTATCATTCTCGTCGGGAGGTGAAAGGGATGGGGCGGCACACTTTGGCTTCGTTGCCCTGGATGCTAGAAGACCTAGCTATTTTCTAGGTGCTGACAGCACAGCCTTCAGGTGTCTATCAAGGGGCATGTCAGATTAGTGGGTGGGCACTAATGATATTTTTTTATCCAAATAAGCGTACGTGCTAGCTGCAACGGCTCCCAATCAATACATGAAGGCTGTGTGGAGGAAGTGTACAGGTGTACTTGCTAGCAGCAGCGGCTCCTGCTGGGAGCTGCTGTCAATCAATGCAGCAGGGCTGGGTGGAGGTGTGACTGACAAACTGATTATAGCAGATATAGGCACGCCGTGCATTATCATGGCACCCTGGATCTCCAAAGAGGAAGCACAGAGAAGTAAATTGACTACACCAGCACAGATCTGCTTCGTGCTTCCTGTGGTCAAAATGAAAAAAAAGGCAGAAAGGGAGCCAACAGGATCACCAGATATTTCTGATTTCAAATTGAAGCTCTAAAGCACCAGCAGGCTACATTAAAAAAACAAACAAACAAAACAGACATATTGTCAGGGACCCAGAGGGGCCGTTCCTCACCAGGCTCGCCGGCATCGGGCACGGGCTCCTCCTCCTGGCAGGGCATCTGGTGCTGGGATCGCCAGTGCGCATTCACGAGGCGAGTGCACGCGTAGCTCCTCACCCTTGAGAAAGTCCATTGGACGAAACGCATAGGGGAGGAGCTACACGCTGACGCTAGTGTATGGAGTGGAGGAGACAGAGCTGAGCTCGTACAAGCCGATTTTATGTTTTTACAGCGCTGAAAAACCCTTTTAAATGTAAGTGTTCTGATTTTTATGAATAAACTATCATCTAGCAGTTTTACACTATGTGTGATCTTGGTTTTCTATTTTGAGTGGATAAGAGAGAGTTGGGAGAGACATCGAGCAGATTCATCATTTTCAGGTGTTGGTGATTCAGTGGAGAGGGAGGCATCGGACACCAGAGAATTTTGCAGAGCGTTTGAAGACCACTGGGTGGTCAGAATTATCTGGTGAGTGTGCTAGTGTTTGTGCACTTGGAGGTGGATCACTGGTGATTAATTGACGAGGAATTGAAGCACAGAAGTCACGAGTGATTGTGGAACTTTATATGCAATGATTATTTGACTGACTGATGCAAAGAAAGTGAACACAAGGATTTCTTTACATTTATTTTTGATCATATCAATTTTGGGAATATTTTCATATGGACTATATATAAGTTGGAGTGGACATTTTGTATAATTGTCACTTATGACAATTATATGCACTTATTGTTTTCGTCCCTGCCAAGGGGTTCCACTCCCGGCCCAGTTATCCAGCCTGACATGTATATACATTATGTAATATTATTTTGTAGGGTAACATACACTTTAAATGTTACGGTCTGGATGTTAAGAATATGCAGAATAGCCAGGCTACCTTCTGGTGCCACTATGGTTCCTGGATTAGAGTGGTCCAATTCTTGTGTCCCAGTGGCCAGCAGAATTAGTCACATCTGATGGTGACTACTGGGAGACTACTAAGCCCCACATGGCTTAGAGACCATGCTTACTTTTCTGACCATGTTTCATGTTATACCCATATTTAGGGTGTAACGTGAAACAAGGTCAGATCACAAACCCCCCACCTACCCCCACACTTACCTGTTTGAATTCAATGCGGCTGTGCATTTCTCCACCCATACAGCTGTGTCACCTATTCCCAGATCATTTGACAGGATCTGTGAATGGAGAAACTACATGTTCCATCAGCCTATGCAGCAGAGGGACGTGTTCTCAATGGAATACAAGTGCGGTGATGTCATCGCACTTGTAGTCCATTCATTCTTCCTCCAATCTGTGTTACTGAATGTCCATACCGAGGTAGGAAAATGGATGGGAGGAAGACTCTGCAGGAGCCAGAGCATTATACCCGCAATCTACTGATCATGCTTTACTGGCTTCGGGACTTGTTCACACCATGTCCGGGTCATGTCCAGACCAGAACAGTTTGTTCTCAGACCAAAAAAAGCATCCCAATGTAACCCCATGGCATTTCTGGGCTCTATTCACACCAGAGAGAGGAGAAGAGGTTCATTAAGCCTTTGCACCATTTAAACAACCTAACACAGAGATGATCTGTGGTTTTTGAGCAAAATAGAAATAAATATCTGGATAATATACATACAAGGCAGTCTAAAATACATAAATACCATTATTGTGAAGAATGACTGCAGACTAAGACAGCAATCTCATGCAAGGCAAGCAGAGCCATGATATCTCATCATCTCCTCATGTGCCCAGAACACACAGCATATACCGTATGGTCTCACAGACATGGGCAATATGTCACAGTCTCACACAGTTTAAACTAACTGATTAGGTGTGACTTAGCACTGTAGGGCAAAAACAAGGATACTGTTTATTCCCCTCTAGATTTGTTAAATGAAATAAATGTACACAATGAGATTTGCTTAATCTTTACACCCCTCTAGAGCAATATGTTGCTGGTACTATTGGGAACAGTTGAGGGTTAATGGCGCTTACCAAACTGTATGTACAGTTTAATACAAAACAAAAAGCTGCCAGGAGAGAACAATGGCTACATTAGTCTAAAGAATGGCACTTTTTTCATTCTCAATTTACAAAATTATACTGCCACAAAACACATCTGTCGGGACTAACATAAATCAGCATGACGCAAATACATAAAAGCTTGTATAAGTGAACTGTACACAGAGAACATACAGCTCTGCCCAATCAGTAGAGAGCTATGATAGCATTAAGAAGATCTAAGTAAGGGATAATTGTAGAATTATAGCTACAAAAATAATAGGTTATTTAACGTACCAGTAAAAAAAACATTTTTTTGGGAGTACAGGACAGGACAGGCAGATTCTGAGATGTAATATGCAGATATCATCAGGTGATTGGACACTGGCCAGAGCTGTGAGAACCCTCAGATAACCCCACTCCAGAAAATCCTCAG